CACTTTTAATCTCTTGATTAACCTCATTTTTAACAACGCTTTACGTAGCACCTACATCAGCAATATCATTAGGATTTAAAACATTATCAACATTCAAATCCATACCTTGGTTTTAAATTGGAACATCTTCGAAAGTGATAGGGTTGGAGCAATAATATTTGAGTTTATATCAACCATCTCTTCATCTTCAAAAATTGGATCTTTACTCTCAACTTTGTCGATGTCCTCAATGGTATAATCCTCCATGAATACGACATCACGACTACGAATAAGATTCCGTTTAACCGGATCAAAGAATCGATATCCAAACTCATCAAGTTCATACCCAACATATACACATTTCTTCGAATTGTCATCTAATTTTGATCTATCATTTTTTGGAATATGCACATAAGCCATGCACCCAAACACTCAAAGATGGTCATAGGAAACATCTTTACCACTCCAAACATGATTTAGAACACAAAACTTCAATGGAAAACATGGACTGGAGTTTAAAAGATGTACAACTGGGCTCAATGCTTCTCCATAAAATTGTCTCGGAAACTTTGATTGAGAAAGTAAACATCTCACCCTTTCCACCAAAGTTCTATTCATTCTTCCATCAAACCCATTCAATTGTGGTGTCTTTGGAGGAGACTTTTGATGATGTATACCTTGATCTTGACAATACTTGTCAAAAGGTCCAACATACTTACCATTGTTACCGGTGCGGATACACTTGAGCTTCTTCCCTGTTTCTCTTTCAACCGATGCTTAAAACGACTTGTAGGTATCTAACACTTGATCTTTCGCCTTCAAGGTATAAGCCCATATTTTTCAAGAAAATCGTCAATGAAAGTCACAAAGTAATATGCACCACCAAGTGACCGTGTCTTCATCAGACCACACACATCGGAATGTACCGAATCCAACACTTTTGATTTCCTCTTTAGTTCGGGTGACATAAAGGAAACTCGCCTTTGCTTACCCGCCAAACAATGCAAACACTTTCTCAACTTTTCATCAGAGACACCATACAACACATTATTTTTTGCTAAAATGCTCAAACATTTTTCACTCATATGACCCAAATGTTTTGCCATAATTTGGATGAGCTTTCATCGTTACAAATGTTGATGTACACTTTGAAACCCCTAGTTGGGAGACATACAAGTTCAAATTCCTTTTTCATTTAGCAACCATCATTGAGACTTTCTTTAAATTCCATTCATTTCCCAAAAAAGAATTATCATATCCTTCATTATCCAACTTTCCAACAGATAAAAGATTGAATCAAAGTTTTGGAATGTGTTTCACACCTTTGAGAGCTAGAGTTGTCTCATTGCTAGTTTTGACACAAGTATCTCCCTTTCTGATGACATTAGCTTTCCCATTATTTCCCATATGAACAACCCCAAAGTCATCGGTCTCGTAAGTAGAAAAAGATCATGTCTCGAGGTTACATGAGTAGAAGCACCACTATCAACCATCCAACCTATCTCATCACATGATTGATTTACATTCTCAATATAACTATCACAAACAATAAAGAAATCATCAATAATAACAACATCTTCATTATTATTACCTTCCTTTTTTTCGTTGTTGTAGCTCTTTTTCTTGTTTTCCCTTTTCAACTTACGGTAATACCTCTTTATGTGTCCCTTTTCCCCGTAATGATGACACTCAATATGAGAGAATTTATTAGAACCTCCTTGTGATTTACCACGTGAAATTTCATGATTACTTGAACCTCTACTTTGATGTCTCCTGCTTGATTCGGTAATTAACACCTCAGAATGTGAAGAAGAACCTTGTCACTTACGCCTCAAATCCTCATTCAACACACTACTTTTAGCCAAGTCCATCGAGATGATACCATTCAGAGCGGAGTTAGACAAGGATGTCCTAAAAGTATCCCAAGAATTAGGTAAAGTACCAAGAAGCCACAAACCATGAATTTCATCATCAAAAATAAGACTCATCTCCGACAATTAATTTAGAATCCCTTGGAAAGTGTTCAAGTGATCGTTCATTGGTGAATCATCAATATACTTCAATGACACCAATTGCTTGAACAAGAAAAACTTATTGTTCCCCGTCTTTCTTGCATACAACTCCTCAAGTTTGGTCCAAAGAGAGCGAGCATGAGTCACCGAGCTCACATGGTTCAAAACATTATCATCCACCAATTGACGAATATAACCACAAACTTGTCTATACAATAAAGTGCATTCTTCATCACTCTTTCCATCAGGTTTTTTATTAGAGAAAACCGGCAAGTGAAAATCTTTCACATAAAGAAAATCTTATGTTTTTCCTTCTCAAACATTATAATTGGAACCATTCAAACTCACCATCTTAGATGTGTTCGTCTTCATCGTTACATAAATCAAACCACGACTCTAAATACCACTTGTTGGGAGGAAATAACAAATGCAATGGAATAAACCAACAAGACAATCTCTCCCAAATATCTAATGCAACTTAGAGATAATTAACAAAAAAAACATCAAACAATACAACACAATTTTATCGTGGAAAAACTTCAGTTAACTAGGAGTAAAAAACTACGGGACCCGTAGGCCACTTAAAATCTCCACTATAATCAACAATGGGTACAAGCAAGGTTCTTTCTAACACTAGTTAGAAGCATACATAAACATCATCAAGATTTGCAATTAATCTTGAAATACAACAATAATCAAGAGAGACAAAACAATCCAAAAACACCAAGAAATTCATACCTCAAAGATGGACTCGACAAAAAGACTTAGAAAGCTCTAAATCCAATCTCCACCGTTCAGAATGTGCTCCTATGAGTCATGAATGTTGTTTCAAAATTTTAGGACAATCCGACTGTTGGATTTTGTGCAAGCTCCGATTTTCTGAAACTGACTTGTGTAGAATTGGGGTTGTGGGAATATGGTTTTCTCTCAAGCTTTTTTTGTTGTTTTTCTCACCCAATGAATGAAATAACCTAATTCTCTTTGTTGGATAATAACAAAGGCATAGTCACACATGGGCTACTAACTCACATCCATTTGGTCTCTCCAAATAGGAGGGATAGCCCAACACACGCGATAGCTTTCATAACGCACATATGGGTCTTTATTCTGGGCTTTCCTGACGTATTCTGAACCGATTTGACACATTTAAAAGGGAATTTTTGGAATCTTGTTAAGGGTTCTGCAAATTTGACTGAAGTGGACGATAAAGAGCGCCCAAAGGATAATTTTTTAGAGCATTTAAAGCAATTGGAGGTCAGTTCTTCATGGATTTTCACTTGCAATCTCCGTCTTATTTCTTGATATTTATTTGTATCAGTATTTGTAGCTAAACTTTTATAGCTTAAGTTTTGTACGATGAACTTATTTTGAACCTGTTGGAATATATGCTTAATTTGACAGTGCATGAATAATTGAAGTTATATTTCTATTTAATTTCCTCTTATACTTAATGCTTTTTATTTAAGAGACTTTGTTAATCTGATTATGGGCGTATAGGGAATACTTACTATTAGTCTATGTGTTGGAACTAGGGCAATTATTATACTTACACTAGTTGAATAGGAATAAGAGAACTCTAGTAGTGGAATTTGAGTTAACGTATTGTTACATGGCCTAATTTCACTTACGCTGGCTGAATAAGGATACGAGATCTCTAGTAATAGTTAATGAGCTATACACAAAGGGGCTGTGTATAGTGACTTTGTTATTTCACCGTGGAAATATAATGACTTTATCATTCATGTAACGCATTAAACATCAACAGGGGAGAAATAAGAGATTTTATGCAAAACCTGATCGCTTTCTCATTATTTCAGAACAACTTTTTATTTTTCGCAAACAAAATAATAAAAAAAGCCTATTTATTACTTTTCTAAACTTTGCACTACTGTAATTTTATTAAATAGCAATCTTTGTGGATACAATCTTATTTTGTTACTGCAACACTATCAGTACACTTGTCGAGAGATCATCAAGAAGCTAGATGATTTCAGTTACACTGAATATGACAGAATAGTTTATAAATTGAATATGACTTTGTATGATTTAAAGTAGTCTCTAGAGAAATGGTACAAGAGCTTTGATTCATACATGCTTCAGACTAGCTACAGAAGATGTGAGTATGATCGTTGTATTTATGTTAAGAGCCTTGATTGATATGTTGATTGTTGCTAATCATTTACATTTCTCTCTGATCTTATTTATAAATAAAGATTCTCTTTTTATGTTCATTGAATAATGAATGTATCCGATCTTAATAAAAGACTAGATACATTAATTATTTAATTAATTTAAAAAAAAAATTTACTTATAATGACCAGAATAAATATATTGTATACTAAGAAGATATAGAATAAACTTCCATAGCTCAAGATTTGACACAAACAATTGATTGGTTCCTCAGTTTTGGTAGACTTTATATATGAAACATTTTTATGTTTGGTTACTAAGTGAGTGTTTGTTTTAACGGTGGGAGAGTAAAAAAATGTGCTTCCAGAAGAAGTAAGGAATTTGAACTTTATAAAACTACGGATAATTACGCGAAAATGAAATAGAAAAAACGGTTCCAAACATATACTAAGTATACTGAATTTTATATCTGCTGACTTGAATTTTGTGTTTCCTAAAAGCCACTAAACAACCACAAGCCACTTATTAGAATTTATAAATACTTTTTAAATCTATGATTAACTAAGTCAATATTTTTTAAAATGATCTGCTCTCAACATACACAACCCATGTGTAAAATTTTAACATAACAATAAATCAGGCTTGACAGGATCAAAGTTTATTAAGTATTATTATCAACATAGGATAACAACATATTATGATCAGTGATCACAAACTGGTACACAATCATTATTACAACACCAAACAAACAAGCTTGAAAATGAAACATAACCACGGCATTAATCCATATAGCACCAATATTCGGCTGAAGATGCGTCACACTAATTCAAACGATGCTTTATTGAAGTATCTCAGATGAAGGCTGCTGCAATTCAATTTTCACTGTTGAGGCTGCACAGTAGAAATGCAAAAGTTTGAACCATGTAACAAATAAAACATTCAAAATCAAATCTCAATTGTTCAAAATCAAATGTAGTACCAGAAAACGTTTCTTGTAAGTATTAACAGTTTCTTGAGGATCCACTTTTGTCTGTGTATAAGCATCAATCTTGTTCAGCTCCTACAAAAGAAACATTTTCATTCACAAATGAGTTTCTCTTATGTCTAAAGACAAATTCATTATTGTCTGCGCCATCACTTGATAAACTAATGAAGAAATCTTCTTCTAGTTTAGATTGAAGAATATGCTGAATAGGGACAATTGAAAGTAAACTGGTACAATTTTCGTAATCAAGGTAAGAAATTCTATACAAGCGGTTTTTCTAGCGTACCTCGATCCATGTTGCAAGTTTAGGTCTTCCTTCTGTGATGTTAAACTTGAACAATTCAGGAAGGATAATGTGGAATCTTTCAACGAATGGAACATAAGCAATATCCACCTGATCACACAAGAATTTACACATTATATATGAAGGGAAACTCATTGATATTATCAGATGCGACGCAACAACTAAGACTTAGTAGGGTCAACTACATGGATCAATGAAAATGAAAACTTCCAAGACCATTGATTTGATTTAAACTCACCAAACTGAATTGACCAAGAAGGAATGGGCCGTCATCAAATTTACCAAGGGCGTTCTCCAAGTACTCAAAAGCAGTACCTGATTCAAAATAACCAATTTAAATATATATTTTACATTTGTAGAAAAAGAAAAAACTTTCCTCCATTTAAAAACTTAAACAACTTACTGGCTAGTTGCACAGTATCCCCTTTGAATGAGCCGTACAAGTCTTTGACAAAGGTATCAACATGGGATAACAACTGCTCAGCAAACTCTTTCTTGGCAGGATCCTACATCAAAATTTATACTAAAAATCAGTTTTAGCAGTAAAAAAAGATTTCAACCAAGAGCTGGGACACACAAATTTATCACTCAATACACACATACATCTTCCCGCGCACATAACCAAATGTTAACCCTGCTACTTACATTGGGAGAGAGAGGTGTTCCTTCAAAGTTGGCATCCACATATTTGACTAAATCAAGACTTTCTCCCAATACCTTGCCATTGTGCTCCAAAGATGGCACCTATATTTAATATCAAAACAAACATAACCACCATTGCAACCTAACCTATAGCATCAAAGTAAATTTATATAAATAAAATAATGACAAACCTTATTTTCAGGGTAAACTTTTTCCTTATACCATGCAGGCCTGTTTTGAAGGTCAATAGGAACCAATTCAATCTTGTCTTCTAGTCCCTATAGTTCAATTACAACACATAAAATTTAAAAAATAGTTTGAAAATTAAAAAAAAAAATAAAAAATAGAAAATAGTTTCTAGTGATCCAAAAAATGGAAATGAATAAAATATGAAGAAAGAACCTTGTAGTTTCTAGTGATCCATACACGTTGTGCAAAGGGGCAAGTATAACTGATGTACAACCTAAGAGCAAAAGAAAATAAGAAGATGAAAATAAAATTGGAAAATAGCAGTAATTAAGGAGAAAAAAAACCTTGTGGTTCCGTCGAAAAGGGGAGGTGGCTCCGAAGTTGAAGTTAGCGGAGGAGGACGAACGGTGCTAATAAATCGAAAGAAAGAAGAAAAGAGTTAGTTAGAGATTAGAAGAAAATTGATGAAATAAAAGAGTTATGATTGATTCATACACAGAAGTCATTGATTTGATTGAATTAGATGAATAAGAAGAATGCAGTGTTGCTTGTTTACATTGAATCGAGTGAATTGTTCTTATACTTATAGCATCGAATATTGTGGTGTGTGTCAGCGATGACGGTTGCTTGTTTATGATGAAGAAGTTTTGAGAATGAAAAGTTTGACAGCGTGATGTTTACGTGTCTGGATAGTAATCTGATCAGAAATATGTCTACATTCATTCAACTGACAGAGAAAAGAAAAAGAAAAATGTTTTATAATTAAAGCAATATTTATATACCAAAGAACGGTTAAAATAAAGCATGTAAAGTGATTTTAAACATATTAGTCATATGTAAGTTTATTGTATAAATCAATAATTTAAATAAAATAAAATAAACTAAATTTATATCCAATACTTTTATATAATATTTTAATATTATTTCTTTCTTTATGTTCATTTTTTAACTCATTCAACATAAATAATTTTTTTTATTTAACTAATATTTCTACACCTCATATATCATCCACATTCATTCAAATATTTTATCTTCTTTCTATTTTGTTTCGTCCCTTCTATCACATTACAAATATTTTATATTGTCTTTTTTTTTCATCCACTTAGTGATTAATGTTTTTATATTTTTTTCTTAAATAGTTTTTAGTCTTGGTGTATTTCTTATTTTTATAATTTATATTTTTTTTTTAGAAATAATTTTTAAATATTAAAAAAAATATATTTTAGTCTTTAAAATTAAAATTCACAGAAAAATTTGAAGGTAAATATATAACAAACCTGCAAATTTTCTTCCATTTTTGTTTTAGGGATTAAAACCAAATGAAATTCAATATTTAAGAACTTTATTCAGGAAAAAATACAAAAACGAAAATAAAAAACACGCCAACTTACGATAATCAAAAAACTATTTAAGTTTTTTTTTCCTATCAACTTAGTGATGTAGGAAGGCTTTTAAGTCATTCGAATTTGTTTCAGGTCCAAAAATAGTATTTTAATATTTTCATCAATTTTCTATTTTATTTCTATTTTGGATTATAAGTTCATTAGAGTTTCTTCTTTTTTATTTTATTTATATTTTGGATTGAAAGTTCACTATAGTTTCTTTGTTTTATGTATTTAAAGACCTTTATCATAGCCATTAGAATTATCTTTCGTTATAATAAAATTTAGAGTTTTCTTCTTTCTGGTGAATTTCAGCTTTATTTAACAAGTTTGTCGCTTGAAAATTTATGTTTTTATTCTAGGTTAAGCGCTTGTTATTTCTTTCGTGCTTTCAACTACGTTAGTTGGTATCAGAGCAGGTTATCTCCTGTTCAATTTCGGAGCTTGATAAAACATGGCGGGTCAACCGGTGACCAGAGCAAATCTTGTGGGAATTATCATGGTTTTTACTGTGACTCTAACTGCTTTGACTAAACAGATGCCGAATTTAGAAAATCAGGTGAACAATACCAACAACAACGTGGAAACAATCGTGATTAAGATTCGAGTACTGAAGAAGAAGAACCATACAAAGAAGATGTTGATTGTGGTAATTGACAAAACAGCCATGACTATAGAGTGAAGACCGATATTCCATTGTTCTACGAAATTATTGGAGTGTTGGAGTTTCTAGATTGGCAGATCGACGTCTGCAGGTGCTTCAACGTTACGAGCGTCCCTGAGAATAAGCAAGTTAAGATGGTGGCGATCAGGATGAAGGTACTATTGTTGTCTGGTGGGATAACCTTGTTGTTCAGAGGAAGAGGCAAAGAAAAGGGTCAATCAGATCTTGGCGAAGAATGAAATAATTGATGCTAAAGTGGCTTTTAAACGGAGGATTATGGGAAAATTCTTTACAAGATGCATATTGAGTGTGTTCAGGGAAAGAGAATTATAACAGAATACACAAATGAGTTCTTACGTTTTTTTTGCACAATGAATTGGGAGAATTAGAGAGCCATAAAGTTGCTCGATACATCAGTGGCCTCTAAAGGGATCATTGCAAGAGAAAATGAGTTTGCAGATTGTAATGGACCGTAATTGAGGCATCCAATCTAGCTCTGAAGGCAGAATTGATGGA